AAAAAATGAATTAGTATTTATAATATGAAGAAATATAAAAGAGATTCAGTAATGTCTTCTAAATTATATTCTATTTTTCTCAACTGTTTATCAAAAGAATTTAAATAAAACAAAAAAAATATTTTGATATTATTAAATGATGTTCAATTAAAGAGAAATGATTTTAACTCATATTTTTAACACAAAAATTAATAATATAATTCAACCATCCAATAATTAATAAAGAAATAAAGAAATAAACAATAAATTATACTGGAAAAAGAGATAAAGATATAAATGATGTTGGAGGAGTATCATTTGATTCAGAAGATAATACGACCCATGACTGAATGTAATAAACCATAACGAAAATATTTAATAAAATCATAATTTGAAATTTTTGAGTTTCTTCTTCAAATGAAACACCTTTAATAGTAATTACACTTTCTCCATCTCCACTAATAATACCTCTAAACACTGGTCTTTTTTCTGAATTAAATACAAGGTCCATTGTTTGGAGTGTAGTAATTGATGGTAAATGATCAAGTTTCAAACGAGAGGCTTCAAGTAATTGAGGTTTAACTATATTTCTAAGTGAATTAAGATCGTTTTGAATCCAATTAGTAACAGCTAAATAACATTTAAGCATAGTAACAGTTCCATTATTTTGATTAACACTTAAAGAAGGATTAATAAATATTCCTGTTTGAATAGAACAACTTGTATATAATTTAATATCATATTTACCATTTAATTCAATTATTGTATCAGCTAATAAAATACTTTCTGATGTATTTGAATAAAATGGAATAAATTGTCTAAAAAATACATTTCCTCGATGATGAAATAATAATTCAAAAATTTGTTCTAATTGATAATCAGAAGCAGTACAAGTTCCATTTAAATTTGGTATTATATTTTGTTGAATTATTTGATACCCACCTTTATAATAAGCAAATGCATTAATCGTTGTATTATCAAGTAATGTCTTTGAACTGAGAAATGATGTTTGAGTCAATGTTCGTTGATAAGTATACAATAAAGTAATAAGTCCAAATGAAACTCCAAGAAAAGTAACTAACAAATAAATGACAGATGTGTGTTGTTGATATTGCATTGAGTATTGAAAAATTTGATTTATATTGAAGCAATAAACTGTTATTTTTTAGTTTTTTATTAGTATTTTTAACTATTTAACTTTGTTTAATTAAATCAAATTTTCGTTTTTCATAACAAAAAAAAAGAAGGGTTTAAAAAGTAAAGTGCTTTGAAATGAAACGAAGACAACAACATCAATTTCAAAGTAAAAAGACAAAGAAAGATTTAAAAAAACTAAAAGACAGAGAACCTAGTCTCAATGAACATGATTCTCTTGATAAAATAAAACATGAAGTTAGTAATATAGAAAAAGTAGGAAGAGTTATTCCTGATGATGAAATTGATGAAAGAGATGATATTTTTGAAGAAGTGAAAATTGAAGAAGAAGAAAATCTTTCTCAAATACCAACAGACATTCAAGATGATTGTAATTCATCACACTTTCTTCAAAGACCATTTGAAGAAGCTGCATTAAAACAACCACTAAAAATAATAGAAAAAAATGAAAATTATCAAATTCAAAGTAATTATGAAATTAATGAAATAATAACAAAAAAGAATGATAGACCATCTTCAGTTCCAATAAGTTTTTGGAAAGAATTTAAAGACTTTTTAAAAGTAAATGAATTAACATTGAATGATTTAATGATAAAAGAATTTAATGGATTAAGAAATTATTCAGATACTTTTATTATTAAACATATGAATGATGAAGAATTTGCATTACACAGATTATTAACAACATTGCATATTGCATGTCATATTAGAGAAATCAGATTATTAAGAATGAAACATACATTTGAACATAAAGAAGAACAAATAAGAGATATGGGACTTGTTAAACCATCTGTATTAGTTTTATTTCCATTTAAAACACCAGCAATTATTTTTATAAAAACATTATTAACAATCTTTGGAAATCAATTTCAACAAAATATTGCAAATGAAGAACGATTTGCACAAGAATTTAGAGATGTTCCATTAGAAATTAAAACAATGAAACCAAAAGAATTTTATCAAATTTTTGAAGGGAATGAAGATGATTGTTTTAGAGTTGGAGTAAAATTTGGAATGAATGGTGTTCATTTTTATTCTAATTTTTATGAAAGTGATTTAATTATTGCATCTCCATTAGGTATTAAAACATTTATAGCAAAGAGTAATAATGGAGAAGGACAAGACATATTATCATCAATAAAAATATTGTATTTAGAATCTATTGATACTATGGAAATGCAAAACATTTCTCATTTAATTGAAATTATTAAAAAATGTAATAAAATACCAATGAAACAACATGCTACAGATATTAGAAGAGTTTATGAACATGAAATAAATGAAAAAGGAGGATATTATAGACAAACCATTATTTATTCTAGATATCAAACACCATTATTAAATTCAGTAATAAGATTATGTTTAAATAATCATATTATTCAAATATCAGAAAGAACAATAAAAGGTACATTATCTCAAATGATTAGAACTATTCCTATAACATTTTATAAATATAAAGCTACAACTCCAATGAATTCTCCTGATGAACGCTTTGAATATTTCACTAAAATATTTCTTCAAGGATATTCAGATGGTATTAAATCAAAAACATTATTATATATTCCAAGTTATTTTGATTATTTAAGAATTAAACAATATTTAAATACTGAAAATTTTAGATGTATTTGTTTATGTGAATATTCATCTACTAAAGCTATTTCTTCTGCTCGTTCAAGATTTTATCATGAAGATGAATGGGAATTCTTGGTCATTACTGAACGTTTTCATTTCTTTAATAGATTTAGAATTAAAGGAATTCAACACCTTTTATTTTATGAAGTTCCAACACCAACTCATTATGTTGCAGAATTTATTAATATGATTTCAGGAAGTGTTAATGATGCTAGTGTTCATATTCTTTATAATCATATGGATACTTCTAGATTAAGATCACTTGTTGGAGATGAACGAGCTGCCTATTTAATGACTACTGAACAAAATAAACATACGTTTGTATGAAGATAATTGACTGAGTAATTTTATTATATTTAATTAACTAAAAAAGGATATTGAAAGTTAAAGATGATAATAAAAAAATAATAAAATAAAATCTTTATCTTAAAATCTTCATTTCATTTATGAGTCATCCTTCTACACCATCAAAATTCTCTCAAAGTCCTGGACCAAACAGAAGAGGTCAAATTGGAAGTAGATATAATCTAAGTCCATTAGAACAAATAGAAAGAAATTGTAGAACTGAAATGGAACAAGTTAATAGATTTCGTTTGTTATACTAAATCATACCAATATAATATAAATTAATATTAATTAAATAGAATTGGATATTTTAGACAAAGTAGTTAAAGGAAAACAATTTATAAAAGAATTACATCAAAAATGTGATGAAGATGCAATAATTATGAAAAGAGACTATATTCCACATACTGATCAAATTCAATTAACAACATACACAGACATTGATTCTAAAGTATTTATTCAAAAATATCAAAACGATATTGAACATTCTCAAATTGAAATGGATAAAATTCAAAATATTGTAAATGAAATGCAAAAAATAGATAGTGCTCGTATTCTTACTAAAATACAAACTACAGAACAATTATTACCTTCAATTAACCAAATTATTCTTGAAAAACAAAAAATGCTTAATGAATTAAAACAAAATCAAATGAATTTAAATTCTTTTATAGAACAATTAAATACTCAAAACTCTTCTATTCAAATAAAAGATTCAAAACATCGTTCTATTGCATTAGATATAGAAGAAATTTTATTAATTAATAATCATGCATTACTTCTTTCTTATCTTCAATCAATTCCTGTTGATATATTTTGTCAAACAACATTTAAAACAGAAGTATTATTATCATTATTAACATTTCTTGTATCTAATTTATCTACTGAATTAATAGAAATTAAACTCTCTTTCATTCTTTTAACATTAAAGAATCTTAATATTAAAAAAGTTCCAAAACCATATTTGTCTCTTTTTAAAGACATTCAACAAACTTTCTTATCATTTAAAGAAATGTTATATTATGAAAATTATTATAAAGCAATTATGTGGATTCTTTATTTATGTGAAGATATGATTGAGGCTTTACAAAATTAAAT